TCTCTTAGGTGTTCTTAAGATTTTTTGGGACTTCCGGAGAACTCTTGAGTATTTTTAAAATCTTATGCAAGCTTTTGAGAACTTCTGAGGGTTTTTGAGGACTTTTGAGCGCTATTGAGAACTCTTAAGTGCTTAGAACTTCAGATTATTCGAAAGAGTTCTTTTGTCTTGTGTCGACTCCCAAAAACCTCTGAGGGCTTTCGGGAACGTCTCAACATTCTTTTAAGAATTTTTAAGAGCTCTCTATTATAATGCTCTTCAAAATTTTTTGTTTTGTTTATCGTTTTTGTAATTTTATGTTGTTTGGTGTTTTATTAATTTTTATCATTTAACTCCGATTTATAAAACAAACCGTCATTATTCTACATTCTACACAAGTATTTTAAATGATTTTTTCATCCATTTTCCTCTTTTTTATATTTTTCCGTACTCGTTTGAGATAATTCTCAATCCGTCGATCTGTTCATGGTGCAATAAAAGCTTCCGCGTTCAGTCCGTCCATTAACCGGAACTACAGATAACCGGATAACCGGATATACCGGAACTATTATGTACTCCGGGCAAAGAGATGTTATCACGTTTTGTGGATAGAACTTTGGAATTGGGTTAATCTGAGAGGTTGGTAACAACCTCAAAGCACCACTGCTAGTAGTTATCAATGTAAATGAAAACTAGTGGTGTATGGCATGGTGCCTTGAGGCAAATTGCTGGAACTGTAATGAAATATTTGAGAAATTTTAAACATTTACAAATATATTATTGCAACAAATACTGTAACTTTCATTATTTTTGCATTATCTTGATATTGCAAGATATTTGATATTTGCTCAGAAATCAAATGTAAATCATAAATAAATCAATTTTTCTTCAGAACATTAACAATCATCATTTCATTTCATTTCGAATTCAATTTCAAAAAAATTGTTGCCTAATTTACACAAAATTGAAAAAGTGCTCCCGTATAGTCACAGTCTAAACGCACTTACAAATAATTCTGTGCGACATTTTCACTTATACTGTGCTTAGCTTGGCGGCATTTTCACATTTTTCAATAGTTTTCACAAAACTGAAAAAGTGCCCCAGTACATAAACAGTCTAAACGCACCTGGGTAAATATTTGCACTAGAGTGGCGCTTAGACTGTGCTTAGCCTGGGTAATTTTCTGAACTTTTGATCCAAAATTACAAAAATATTTTGAAAAAAAAAATTACAAACAAAATTTTTTTTTCCAAAAGCAATTATTTTGTTGAAACAAGCAGAAAGTTCTTTGAATCATTTAAATCGGACGCTTAGTTCTCTCAAAAACTGCCATTTTTTTTACATTTAGCTCTGTATCTCCGAAACCGCTGAGCCTACCTTTGCCAAAAACTAATAAACACTTTTCCCCGTCATTACGAACTGAATGTTTTTTGAATCATACAAATCGGATGATCCGTTCTCTCAAAAACTCGATTTCTATTTTCTGCACTCTTTGCTCCATATCTACGTAACGGCTGGACCTGCCTTTGCCAAAAACTGACCAGCACATCTCCCTGTTAATAGGAATCGAATTTGTTTAAACCATTCAAATCGGTTGATCCGTGCGCCCGTAAACGTGGACGAAAAAATGCGGGAAGTTAAAAATGAAGGATAATTTCTACTCTGTACTAATGTCTAATTTACTAGAGGAGAATGATGCAGACTTAAGAGAATTTTTATATTTCTCCTGGTTTTTCTCTTTTCTGATTATAATTTTATCCTTTCTACTTATAGCCAGTTTTAGTTTTAGTGCCTTCTGGCCAGCTATAATAGCTAAACACGGGGGCCACTTTTATGCTTTTAACAGTTTACGAGAAATTATTTATAGATTTGTATACAAAGTAAGAAGACTTTTGGTGGAATTGAAAACGCTGGTCAAGGATAAAAATATTTGATTTGGAGATTTAATTTTAGATCAGGTTGATCTGCTATCTTACTGAAATATAAGTATCCAGTTTTGGGGACTTTTTTTTTAATTAAATTTATTTATTTATATATATACATTATTTTCATATCTCAGTCAGAAAGAGGTGCCTGGTATGAGAGAATATGAAAAACAGTTTTCATATTTCAAAATTTTATTTTTTTATTTAATTTTATTTTATTTTGTATTTATAGTGTTTAAGTAAATTTAATATTTACTTTTCTCATTAGCTTAGCAGAAACTAGATAAAATATACTATATTTCAGTATAAATTGTTTTTGATATCAAATTTGGAAAAGATAAGTTTGAACTCGCTTTTATATATTGTATTAATTTGCTATATATGGATTTGGCACACTTTTCTACATTTGCTTAAAAAACTTGAAACGTTCGTTCCGGGTGCTTTTTTTTAGTTATCTTAGCAGAAACTATATAACATTTACTAAAATTATTGGTAAAGTATCTTATATATTTTTTTAACGAAAATTTTAAATAAAACTAATTTGAACTTTTATATGTCGTGTTTGTCTTTAACTCCCTTAAAGTCGCCAATGTATTTTGTACTTTGCTGGGCAATATTAGGGACATTTTTTGACATTTCTTTAAATTACTCAAAAATTTTGTTCTGGGGACTCTTTTCTAGTGAGCACAGCAAAAACTAAATAAAATATACTACAATTCTATACAAACAAATTTATATACCCCGATAGAAAGTTTTTGAATAAAATTAATTTGAAGTCTCCAATGTATATTATACGAATTTGCTGGGTGATTTAAGGGACATTCTTCACCAAGTCTTCAAATTACTCGAAATTTTTGTTTTGTGCACCCTTTTTTAATAAGCTTAGTAGAAACTATAAAAAATACACTACAATTCTATATAAACAAATTCATATATCTCGATAGAAAGTGTTTAAATAGAATGAATTAGAAGTTACCTATGTATATTGTACCAATTTGCCGGACAATATTAGGGATATTTTTTGACAATTCTTTAAATTGGTCGAAAATTTTTTTTGTGGACTATTTTCAAATTAGCTTAGCAGAAACTAGATAAAATTTACAACAATTCTATACAAACTGTTTTATACACCCCGATGCAAAAATTTTGCAAACTAACTTATAAACTTTCACTTTTCCCCAGATCATTCTCTTATGATTTCCCATTTCTTCACCGAGTTAGTATAGATTTATATATAAGTGTCTATTTTCTTCGATTTATATGAAGTGTATTATTTTTTTATATCGTACACCACTAGTTGATTTAATAATAATAATTGTTTTCCGAAAAAGGCGTTCTGATACAAAAGCGATAATATTTAATCAAACATGCAAATATCTTTCGCCCGAGTCGTGAATTCCGATTTGATTCCCAACGGATGCAATCAAATTCCAAATAACATTAATCCCGAAAATAGACGGAGAGCTGACGACCCACGAAGGGATAGAAATATTGAAATAAAATTAGATTAATAATAATAGATTTTTATAGATTTTTTTGAAAATTTTGTATAGTAGATATTTACGGAATACGAAAATTTTATATAAAATTGCTAGAAATATACTCGGTAATGCGTTGTTGCCAATCCGTTCACTAAAATCATTGGGTTCAAATAAATACTCTTTATGATTTAATGTTTTCTAAAATCTGACAATAACGCTTTTTGTTTTTATCAAAATAATTCTTTAAAATATTTTTGATAACTACAACTTTCATTAAAAGCCTTTAACTTGAGATTTTTCACTGTAGACAGATTTTAGAAATCTTAATTAATAAATGAAATTATTTATTTTTGTTTTTATATAATTAGATAAATAATCATTTATATTCAAATGCGCTGTTGCCAAATTGTTCACTAAAATAGTTGGTCATAAATAAATCTTTTATTATTTATAAATAATACTTTACATTAGAGATTTAATAGTCAATGGAATTTGACAACAGCGTTATTTATTTTCAACGAAATAATTTTATACAATAATTTAAATAATTCATACTTAATTGCGAAAGCAATTTTATAATTTTGATAATATGGCAACATTTTTATAGTGTCAAGTTTGGGATTTGGCAACAGCGGTTTGGATCAATTTATTTTTGATAATGGATTGTTACCAGATTTTGTGCAAAATTTATCTGGAACAAAACTATTGAAGAATAACTTTTATGGCTTGCCTGAAAATGGTCTAGATTGTCTGAAAACGTTGTAGATTGCCTGAATTTACTGTAGATTGTCTGAATTTTTTAGTTCTGTCTGAAATCATTGTCTGAAAATGTTGTAAATTATATGAAAAGGTTGTAAATAGTCTAAAATTTTTAGTAAATTTTCTGAAAATGTTTTGAAGTATCTACATTAATTTTCACATCACTAAGTTTACTTTCTTCTCTACGAATTCACTATTAAAATTATAACAACCTAATTTAAAAATAATTCTTATGCTATAGCAACAACTTTCATGGAATTTTTTTAACTTGGGAAAAACGCTTTCGATCAATTTTATTTCATCTTTTCAAAACGGAGTTATATCAAATGATTATATCTAATTTTCACAATTCAATCATTTTCTCTTCATCAAAGTCAAACACTATGTCGCTGGCGCCCCGTCTATTTTCTTTAATAATACAATTAAAAGTTATTTGTTTTGCGAATCGCACGGATCGACAAGTTGAAAATGAAACAAGGGGATATGATTTTAATTATTCAGACACAATTTCGAATTGGATGGATAGGGAATGAGTTGTATATCATCACAATCATAAAATGGAATAGAAATATACTCTCGAAAAAGAACTCTACTAACTAAAAAAAAAACAAAAATGGATTCTACTAAACAGTGACCTTAAGTTTAAATGTTTGGAAAAAATAGCTAAAATGTTACATTTAGGTTATGGTTCTGTATGTAAAGAACTCTAAAAACTAGCAAAGAAATATAAGGCTCTTGATGAGGAAACCACGATAATAAAAATTACTATACCACAATATTCTTACAGGTTATAGTATAGTATATTTCAGAGTATATTCTATTCTTCTAATTATATTCTTTTTATTTTTTGTTCCAGGATTCAAAATGTCAGGAACAGATTCAAATCCTGCCTATAAGCAGAGCCGGAGTATGTCGATATGTGCTCCAGGCTCCTCTATGGAGGCGGTTCTTACAGCGCCTTCGGGTTCGAACACACCCGAAGGTTCCAGCACACCTAACAGAAGGTACTTGATTGAAAAAAAATTTAAAATAAATTTTTTTGGACACATTAATATCTAAAAAAACAGATGTTTGCATCACACATTGCGTTTGTTTATAGTTCTATTGTTATTAATGCTTAAATAAGTTCCTTTGCAAATTCGCTTTTTGTATAAATTTTCTTCAAAATGCAGTACAATCGGGTTAAAAAAATCTATATTGTACTTTTAAAGTGCTCATGTGTTCTGTAAGCGTGTTGCTTAATAACACACGTCTTTCCAATAAAATCTAATAAATAAACTAGTGGTGTATGGCATTGTGCCTTAAGGCAAATTCCTGGAACTTCCCGTACCGTAATGAAATATTCGAGAAATTTTAAACGTTTTCAAATATATTATTACAAATAATACGGTAATTGTTTCATTATTTTTGCCATCCTGTTATATCTGAGCAAATCAAATGTAAATCATAAATCAATTTATCTCCAGAACATTAACAATCGTCATTTCATTTCGAATTTAATTTCAAAAAAAAAAATAGTTGCCTCAATTTACACAAAATTGAAAATTATTTTGCATTTGCAAATAATTCTGTGCGACATTTTCACTTATACTGTGCCTAGCTTGGCGGCATTTTCACATCTTTCAATAGTTTTCACAAAATTGGAAAAGTGCTCCGTACGTAAACAGTCTAAACGCACTTGGGTAAACATTTGCCCCAGAGTGGCGCTTAGACTGTGCTTAGCCTGGGTAATTTTTTGAATTTTTTTAATCCAAAATTACAAAAATATTTTATGGAAAATAAAAAAAGATGTAATAATTTTTTATTCTCAAAAGCAATTGTTTTATCAATACAAGCAGTTCACTCAAAAACTGCCATTTTTTGCACATTTAGCTCTGTATCTTCGAAATGGCAAGACCTGTCTTTGCCAAAAACTAATCACCTCTTCTCCCAATCATTACAAATTGGATGTTTTTTAGATAATTCAAATTTGATACTCCGTTTCTCAAAAACTCAATTTGTATTTGCTGCACTCTTTGCTCCGTATCTCCGTAACGGCTGGACCTGCCTTTGCCAAAAACTAATCAGCACATCTTCCTATCAATAGGGATCGAATGTTTTTTAGGCCATTCAAATCGGTTGATCCGAGCGCCCGAAAACGTGACTGGATAATTGTATCCATACACACACACACATACACACACATTCATATTTTCAGAGGTATGCCTTAAAAATGTTCAGAAACCTTGAAAACGTCGAGAAATGCAAAAATTTTCATTTTCGATTTTCGGCCCATTACTATAACTACCCGGACGTTAATAAATACATATGCGATGCAGTAGATTCTACATACATAAATGTTTGATGGCATTATGGTTAAACGCACCGCCTTGTGTGGACGGGGTCGTATGTTTGAAGGTTTGAACCCAACCTAACATCGTGCAATAGCGATGTCTATTTTCACTTATATAAATCAAAAATATGTTTCGAATTGAAAGTAGCCCATTTTCTAGCACTGCGATGGGAAATCAGTCACGCTATTCTTCCCTTAATCGAGTTACAATCGAACCTGCCCTATGGCAGTACTTCCCGTTATTTTATTTATATCTATTTCTTTTTTTCAGGCGCAGGCCCGCAACTCGCACCCAAAGTGCCCGAATGACGGGACCCCGTTCAGTAAGGCGAAAACAGCAATCCTCACATCAATTGCAGGAGCCCCTTCAGAGGAACCTCTATAGCAGCGAGCCGAGGCTCACAGAAACCGAGACTCCTCCTCAAAGACGAAGGGGCTCTACTAGAAGGGTCCAGCACGGTTATGGATACCCAGGTAAGGGAATAATAAATAACCACTGTGTACTCTTTCTTATATATAAAAATGGAGCTCTCGATCAAATGATTCGGTAAAACTCGAAAACGGCTAAACCGATTTGGCCAGTCTTAGTCTTGAAAAATTCGTGCTAATCAGTAGGTTGTCGGAAAGGTGAGATATTATTTCAAAATCGCGTAGAAACTTTACATTTTTAATTTGAGTTTTAATTCGATTTTTGTAGAAGCGAAATTTGAATAAAACAATGGACGGTGGCTAATACGTCAAACGTCAACGTCAACATTGTTGACAGATGATATTCAATTACGTTTAATAGGATGTTTTACGTGAATATTATTTAATTAAGATTAAATTGTAGTAAGCAGTTATGTTCGTAGTTTTACTTATATACAACAACGTCGCAAGTGTTACTTGATATTCAAAAATATCAACTTTTTTGAAATGTTAATATGAAAATGCACCTTTTGGCATATTTTTCTCAAATACGGTGCTCTGAAAGATCTCATTTGTATAATTATATATTTATTAGTATTTATAAACTTATTTATGTTACCAAAATTCAAAACCTAAATTTCGTATCGATCTAATGGACATTTTGTCGAATAACATTTTCCCTGTTATAATTTCCCAGAATTTATCGAAAAATAGATAGTAATATATGAAGGTACAGGATTAAAAAGGTCCACCACCGATTTGTCAAAAATCAGTAAAGTTAATCATTGTTTGACAACAATATTTGAAAGTAGAGGAATAAAGATGTATAACCAACTATAACCTTGATTTGAAAACGGTAATTTTTGAAATGGGGAAGATGAACGATCTTTGAAAATCTATAACAAAAAGTATTTTCTTTCGTTGCTAGTTTTTTAGCATTAGTTAAAAATGTAATTATTTTGTAATATACCTTTAAAATTATAATAAGGCTTCAAACCTTTTTGCCACCTGTGCGTTTCAAGTTACCCTGTCTATAGGTTAAAAAGGTCTAGATAAATTTTTTTTAAAAGAAATCAAAAAAGCACATTTCTATAATGATGAAGTTGAAGGCAAATTAATGAACGTAGTCAGATAATTGTTTGTTTGATATGTGTTATTTGTTGTGATATAATTGGTTTGATTTTTGCAATAAAATTTATATTTGCTCAAACTCAAATTGGACCTTTGTGCCTTGCCTTGCTCTACATATATACTTTTTATTAAATTTACTTTAATTCATCGAATGTTACTTGAAACTTTTTAAAAAGCAGGTCAAAGAAGAAATACTTAATTCATTTTCTATCTCTCCTCGCAGAAATTTGAAAATTTTGTATGAGCTCAGTAGTATTATTTACAATTAAACACAAAATCCAGAATCCAAAAAGAATCTAAAAAGCGTGAAACGTAATCAATAAGTCGAAAGATCAAAAAAGACTTGGATTGGATTATACCATGTTTTCTATAGAAAGTGTATAAAACTTCCAGTTGATTGTATTGACAAAAAATAAATAAACTAATGGGGTTTGTTATTTTTATAATACCTCATTGTGTATAACATTCAAAAAACACATCCCTATACACTAAAAGTATAAATATTATTGATTCTCTAGAAATTGTTAGAATATACCTTACATAACAAAACAACGTTTGCCGGGTCAGCTAGTATATTTATAAATTGCGTGTTATGATGTTTCTCCGCAATGTATTCCCAAACTACTGAACCGATTTTAAATTTTATTCGCTCACCATGTGCATTTATATCCAACTTGGGTTATAGGCAGTATTCAAAATCTCAATTTACTACACCCATTTGGTCAAATCAAGCAGATTTTTTTAAGAAACAAGATTTTTTTATCTCTCCACTACATCAAATATTTCATTTTAAACAAGCGGTCCCGAAGGACCTTTTATCCTTTGATATATTTTCTCGTCCTACACAATATTTCTCGTTTATCTCAATAGACGGACGGGCCGTCCGTTCGTTTAATTTTCCACAACTATAAGCTTTTGCTGTAGTCGTAAACTGCAGCTATTTTTATTGTCGTTAAAATACCGGACATTCCCTCCGGAAACCCTACGTCTGATATATTTTTATAGTCCTCACATAATCCTTATGAGAAATGAAGTAGAAGACATATCGAAAGGATAATTGACATATGAATTTAATCCTTTGCGCTCGATTGAAGACTCTCTAGTAAGTCGAGTGAAAATTTATGAAGTTTTTGATTAATTTGTTTTCTAAATTTTTTTAAGTATATTTTTTGTAAGTTTGCAAAAAAGTACATACAGCCAATAAAAGTCAAGAGTGCAAAGGGTTGACTAAAACTATAATTATATATACTTATCAAAATTTTCAGAAAATCTAGATATTGACACTTATCATTTTATTTTTATTATTAACTTCCCGTAGGGCAAGTTATAGTAATCGCAAAAAAATCAAAAATGAAAATTTTTATATATCTTTACGTTTCAGAGGTTTCTGAACATTTTGGCATACCTTAGAAAAAATGGATGTATGTGTGTGTGTGTGTGTGTGGGTGTGTGTGTATGTATGTACGTGTGTGTATGTATGTGCGGATACAAATTTTCGTCGACGATTTCGGGAACACGGATCAACCGATTTGAATAATTCAAAAAACATTCGATTCGTATTGATAAGGAGACGTGCTGATTAGTTTTTGGTGAAGGCAGGTCTAGCCGTTCCGAAGATACGAGGCAAAAAGTGCCGAAAACTGTAACTCAGTTTTTAAGAGAACGGAGCGTCCGATTTGAATAATTCAAAAAACATTTTACTTGTATTGACAAGATGAAGGAAAATTTTCATAAAGGTAGGTCTAGCGGTTTCGGAGATATGGAGGAAAAAGTAAAAAAATGAGCCATTTGGCGGTCAAAAATGATCATTAGACATATGCACATCAAATTATCAGACATTTTATAGAGATTTTAACAATAAGTATACATTTTGTTAACATTCCTATGGGTTCCGTACCAATGCTTATGCGTTAGACAGCTACGCGGCGCTTACGCGCTTTATATTTTGTCCCTATGCTGTTAAAGCAGTACGATTGCTTTGAAAAGAAAGTTCTGATCTTCCACAATATGTCAAAATAAAGAAAAATTTTTTTTTTTCAAAAATAAAAAAAATTTAAAAAAAAATTATTTTTTTTTAAAAAAATTTTTTCCAAAAAAAGTAATTTTTTGTCCAATTTATAGTTTCTCAAAAATCTTATTTTTTCAAAGTAATTTTTTTTCAAAAATGTTAATCCTTTTTAAAAAAAATAATAATTTTTGGTACGGGAAGCTCCAGCAATTTGCCTTAAGGCACGATGCCTTAATTGCCTTAAGACAGAATTCCACTTACAGCTAGTTGTCAAATTTAATTCGATTATAAGTTGAGAAAGTCCAATTTTTCAATGTATTCTTGCTATTGCTTGATTTGATCGAATTGGGTCACCAATTTAATAAATTTATTTAGAACTCTAGAAAAATGATTGCCGACTCGTATTGTCACACACACACACTTGATATTTATATTATTTTACGAAAACTTTTTTGTTGCTCGTTTGGTGCATCATGCGCAACGCAGATGAGAAATAAAAAAATGCATTTCATGTAATTATTGTATGCTCTAGTATTTTTATTTACATTCATTTGAATAATGAATAGAAGGGATGGTGGTAGAATGTAAAAGGAATTAAATGAAAATGCAGAATACGGTCGGAGGATGCATATTTATGTGCAGAGGATAATAAAGGATGCGGTTTTGTAAACACACAGATACACATACTAATACACACACATATATATTTATGTATATATATATGTATATATATATATATATATATATATATATATATAAATTAGGGTGGTCCTTAATATGGACATTCTTGAATTTCCTTGCTTGCAATGACTCAAATGGTTTTAAATTGATAAAAAAAAATCCACTATAAGTTTTAGCTCTTGATATTGTCTTTTAGATAGGAATTATTAGCAATTCATTAAAAGTTTTGTATGGAAATAGCATGGAAAAATTTTCAAAAATTATAAAAATGTTTTTTTTATACAATTTAGCGAACAAATAATTGATTTTTATTCAAAATTCGACGCTCTACAAAATAAATTATAAAAAAAACCTGCTTTGCAGAGCGTCGAATTTTCATTAAAAGATGACACGAATCGTTACTTTTAATTCATTTGTCGCTAAGTTATACCTAAAAAACATTTTTAAAATTTTCGAAATTTTTTCCATACTATCTTCATACGAAGCTTTGATTGTATTGCACTATCTAAAAGTTAATGAAGAGCTAAAACTTTTAGAGAATTCTATTTATCAATTTGGAAGCTATTAAGCCCCTGGGAGCAATAAAATACGAAACTGTCCATATTAAGGACCACCCTAATATATATATATCTCCACCTCCACTTATCATAAAATAATATGTAAATTGTTTATAAAATGATTAATATTCAATACATAAACTATTTAAAAATGTGTGTATTGATTTAGAGCAAATAAAATTTTATTATCAATGAGTTAAATACTGTTTTTTTCTATATAAATTAAACAATATTTTTAAATGTTTAAATGATTATATAATAATTTTGAATTTGGAGTAAATATTGTTTATTTATATTGAGCTTAAATTGGTTTTTTATGTAGGGTAAATATTGTTTATTTATATTAATCTTATATTGGTTTTCAATATTGAGCTTATATTAGTTTTGAATGGGATTTTAATGGGAAAATATTAATAGAATAATATTATAGCAATATTGCTAAACCATATAGAGCCCATATGAAGTGCAATATTGCGCCACGATTCATTTCTACTGGGGTATATATATATATATATATATATATATATATAATATATATATATATATATATATAATATTTTTTATTATTGTTGTTGTAAAATTTGGTATTTTTAAAATTTTCAGCAACCCAAAGAAAATCAGCAGCATTTCTGGACGTACCAGGAGCTGGTGGAGGTGGAGAGGAAGATGAGGACAATTATAGGCTGAGGTCGTTTAGTATCACCAAAGGAGGTCAGTGGCGATTTTTTTTTTAAATTTTCAATTTTTTCGAAATCGTATCAGTCAAAAAAAAATCATAAAAATCGTCGAAAATTTTTTTTGAACACTTCATTACAAGAAAACGGCCCGGCCGATCTTTACCAAAGACTAACCAGCACGATTCCCAACCAATATCTTTCGAACGGTTTTTGAATTTTTAAAATCGATTCCGAGTTGCGGGCTAAAACGTAGACGAAAAATTTTGCACTTTTTGCACGATTTATGAAGAAACGGCTTGGCCGATCGTCGCACAAAACTGACAAACAATAGTCCTCATCAAGATACATCGAGTGGTTTTTAAATTTTTGAAATCGGTCCAGCCGTTTTTCGAGAAAACGTTGATTTACGGCAAAAAATCTGTTCACACACACACACATACACACACACATACTTTTTCCAAATTTGGTCTCATTCGATTCAGAATGGCTTGAAACGTCGAGAACATAAAATTAGCGAATCGGATTTTTTGATGAAAACATAAACTTCGGGAAGTTGAAAATTGATCTCAAACAATTCAGAATGAAACACCGAGAAAACATAAAATTACCAAAACGGATTTTCTGCCTCTACAAAAACCTCTCCTTCGTAAAGTTCCAACTGACAAACAACTGACCTGTTACCTATAAATAGTACCTACAACCACTCACACATCCATTATACTATTTTAATTCCCTCAAAGGTTTCCATTTCCAAATTCACCTCGACAATTCCGTGTGATGTTTTCATGTACCGTGAAGCGTAAAGAAATGTTATTCCGGGCGGCCGACTTCTTCTTGGGAACTCTACATCGCCATATACTATAATACTTTACTCAACGAATAAATAAACTAACTTTTGCGAAGGAACAAAGGACCAGTCGTTGGTGTTATTTAAAGGAATGATGATGATGATGTTGATGTTTCACCAGAAACCATTTGGAACGGTTCAAAGTTAATTTGCAGCCGTAAAACGGTTTTATAACTACAGACTGCTGCTACAGCAGTTAAACACAAAATGAGAAAATGGGAAAATGAATCATTTTCTGCTGTATTAATAGACGGTAAAGGATGGAAAATGATAATATATATGTTAAATAAACTAAGTTTCAAGCCAATCTGAATCAAATGAGACCAAATATGATAAAAGTATGTGTTTGTGATTTTTTACTTTTCGTCGAGCTTTTCTCAAAAACGGATAGACCGATTTTAAAAATTTAAAACACGTTCTATATACCTCGATAAGGACTATCGTGCCAAACAAATTCAAAATTCAAAATCAAATTTTTTTTTGACTGTAGATACCATAGTAGATACCATAGTATCTATCATAGATTTAGAAAATCATACTAAATATTACGGCCCTACGAGAAGTCGTTTATTTTATATATTCATCAAAGTTCGAAAAAATTACCATCGTTTTTTTGACTTTTATTAAAATTACTCCTTTCATCGACGTTTTCTCAAAAATGACCGCAAACCGATTTCAAAAATTTAAAAGCCGTCTCTTTGTAATTAGTAGAAAAACGAAATTTTTTTGTGCACGTTTTAACCTAAAATTCTGAATTGACTTTAAAAATTTAAAAACTATTCGAAAGATGTTATTTGGAAATCGTGCTGACTAGTTTTAGACGAAGATTTCTGAATAATCAACTGTTAAAAATGTTTTTTCGATTAATCTTTTTATGTTGATAGATAATTGCTATTTCTATTATTGTTATTTTGTTATATGTATTTTATTATTTTTCTAGCATTATTTTATTCAGAAATTTTATTTATATTATTTATTAATTTTATTTTTATTATTATTTGCTTATATTTTATATCAAATCATTTTACGGATATTATTTTCATGTAAATTTTATCCTTTGCACTTTTATTTATTTAAATTTATGTTATTATTTATCAATATTACTTGATGTTAATAATTTAACAATTGTAATAATTATTGAAATTAAAAAAAAAAATGTTGATAGACGTCATAGACCTAAAGAACAAACCAAAATATTATGGCCATACGACAAGTAGCTTAATTTTAAAAATTCTTCAAAATTTGCAATAAGTTGCAAGTACTTCTCGATACAAATACAATCAATAATAATTTAAAGAGTTACCAAATTTTTTTAGATAACAAGAAATGCCTACAATATGACAGAAACATAAAAAAGATAAAAAGGACTCTACTAACGAGCAAACTGAATAACATCCTGCAATTTCTAGTTATGGCTCACTAAATTGTATGAACAATTTCATAAACTAAAAATAGGCGAAAAAGAGATACTACTGATAGTTAATTATTCATTAATAATTAACTGATAGTTAATTATTAATTTGAGTTTTAGTTATTTAGATAAAATTTTCAACGGTTTATTACGAAAATGAAAATTTTGCTTTTCATCCAGAAACTAATCAATGCAATTTACAATTGACCACTTTTCGTAGGCCTATACTACTTTAAGCTGGTAGTTATGAACTATAAACTCTATCACCAAATTCATGCAAATTTTTATAAAAATGCACTACAGTTGACAAAAATTAACTATAATTGGCAAAAATGATTGAAGATTTCCAAAAATAAAATTGGAGAAAATAATCTGTTTTTGCCAAAAGTAAATGACACCGAATCCTTTTCTCAACTTAACTCTCATTCGATAATCGGAAATTTTTGCGGAAACATAAGCATCTCTTCCATCTAGTTAATATATATTCTTATTACGTATAATATTTTTTAATATATGTTTCATTATTACGTTGAAGAAATCTCCGCCTTGGTAATAATGGCGGATAAATAAAATAATAAAACCGGAACCGTATTAATAAAAGTGGAAACGGACATAACATTGCTTTATATTATTGCGCCGAGATGAATCGTTTTATGATTCAATGCAATTCAATTCAATTGAAATATCGGTATGATATAATGTCTATTTACCGATTATGAGAGATATTAAATAAGAGAGTGCTTGATGTGAAATATATTTCTAGAAAATCCGATTGTATAATTTTATGTTTCAAAGTCATTCTGAATCGTTTGACACCGAAATTGAAATAAGTATTTATTATGCATGTAAATAACTAACAATTATAATGTCCTCATAAAAGTCTGAACTACCCTTTTTTCTATTCAAACCCGTTTTTTGTTAGAATTTATTTACACTATGCGGACTTAAATCTTGCCTTGAAATATAGTACTATATCATAATAATAGGTTGTCAAATATCTCCCTTCCGCCTTTTTGTATTATAAACCAAGAGCAAAAAAGCGGAAGGGAGATATTTGACAACCTAATATATTAATTTCCACACAAAAATATTAAGAATTTCAACATTTTCATTCGCCAACATCTTCTCACATTGGAAAGTAGTATAGGTTTCTTGTTCTTAAAAAATCTGGTCTTATTAATTCTTATAAAGGTTCTTATAAATTAATTGTCAAGTGTCCAATACTTTTTAATTTAATAAATCATCGATTTTTAACTTCTCCAAGAAGAAATTTATGTTCGCCAGAAAATCTTACTTGTTGATTCTATGTGTCTTCCTAACGTTTATTGCAAGTCTGAATCGTTTGAGACCCAATTTGAAAGAAGTATAAATGGATAAAATTTGATCCCTAGTTTAAGTTTTCTAAAAAAGCGGCTGCACCGATCTCGAAACTTTTTAAAAGTTCTATGTTTAATTTATATTTGTGAGGAAGGAACCAAGTGGAATGTTCTGCAGTGGCGTCACCGCTCTCGACGTTTTACTAGAACAACTACTATGACGCATTCGGCGTTCGCCAGAAGCTGGCACTTGAAATTCGGGGAAACCGGGGTAAATTGATCATTATTCTAGAATTATGTTCACAATAAATATAAAGAATGATGCGATCCAAGCCTGAGATCCCCAGATCGAATCCCGGTCGAGTACCATATACAAAACGATATAGGTGTGAAAATGATGCTTAAAAAAATAATTTAGGGGGCGTTTATTAATCACATGAGGTCTAAATGAGGGATGAAGTAATCATATGTTATCATGAATCCAATCCAAGAAATCCAAAATTTTCCAAATATTTTACGTTTTTTTCTATGAAGTGGGTTTAATTCTAAATATACTAGGTGATACTTAGAATTAAACCCACTTCCTAGTAAAAAACGTAAAATATTAGGAAAATTTTGGAGGGAGGGGGTTACATTTAAATATCACATTATACTATATTTTTGCATTAACTTTATTTCGTAAATTAATATGTTACGTGCGTTTCGAGACTGTAGTTTTTGTCATCACTATTATGTAATTTCCACTAATTATTAAGAATTTTGTTTTTAAGAGAATATGTTTAATTATGAATGTTAACAGATTGTTTTAGTTCTAATATTTAAAAAAAATTGATTTATATATATATATATATATATATATATACATCTGATTTTTTATCCGTTTTCCCTTGGATGATCTCTGATGACGTTGGTGCTGATCTATTCATAGATCCAAAGATCACTGTTTAGCTTTAGAATTCGATTTGTATATATTTAAATATACACAAATTTATATATATATATATATATATATATATACATGTGTGTGTTTAGTATATTTTAAGAAGACATTTGCTTCAAATATATCCTCGAGAAAAATAGAACATGCATTTCTAACGCTATTACCTAAGTTAAGGAACTCTACTTTGTTGTTGGATTTATATATATATATATATATATATATATACATACACATATTTAGCCAATACCCGGGTATTATTTTTCTGAACTAAAAATCTCCTTTCTTTCTCTTAATTCATAAAATCTTGATTCCGGCCATTTTTCAATATTTCGTTAAATAACTTGTGAATTTCTTTGAAGATTCTCTTTCTTATTATTCTTAGCAGAAAGTAGATAAAATTTACAAATAATCTTCATAAGTATATTCATATGCACCGATACGAAAATTTTTAAGAAAACTCGTTAAAAATAGCTAACATATAGAATGTTGCAAACATTCTTTGCCTTTTTTTGAAATAACT